CCTCATTACACCAATGAATAGGTGTAACCCAGGTCCCAGCCATTCAGGGCCTTCAGTCACTATGCAAGTTCAGAAGGGCTCCTCATAGTCTGATGGGCTGACCAGCTGGCCGAGTGCCAGACCAAAAACCTCATGCCTACCCTAAAAAAACAGAAGGAAAGACACCCTCTGCCCTGCCCTGCTGAGGCTCCTAGCCCCCATTTAAAATTCTTGTGTTACTCAAAACCAAATTGAAAACAGTGATCACATTTGCTTAGCATCCTTCCCTCTCTTGCTGGTATGAATTGATTAAAACACCAACGGGAGCAGTAGCCCAGCAGAGATGTTCAGTCTGCTAGAAAAGAAAACATGGTTTGCATTTTACCCCCAAGCCCTCCTTTGGGCAGAGTTTTAAGTATTATCTACTCTCCTATGTTCTTGGCAGTGTGAACTGACAGGAGATGGAAGGTCACAGAAATGAATTTGTTGTAACATAAAATGTTATCCACTGTTTTCAGAAATTTGGAGAAATAGCTGCTACCACATCCCTGTTCACTCTGCTAAAATACTGTTCTGTTGTCACCATTACTTGACAACTCCATACTTTGTTCCCCTCTTATTCCGTGGTATTTTTACAACCCAGACAGTTCCTGTTAATTTTTTTTTTTTAAGATTTAGGATTTTAAACCATGCCTATTACTAATTTCACAGCCTTTATGTAAAATTGCTTAGACATATATGTTCTTATTTCCCCAATTAATGATATTCAGTGGTTTGCAAACGATGAATTCAAGAGCATACCATCAACAAGGCATATGGCTGACTGTGGCCAACCCTTAGTGATGGCAAACCAGGCAACATTCAGCGGTGCCTTGAGTGGGGCATGTTTTAAATAATTGCTCATTGAGAAGAAAGCAATAAATCTCTTCCACTGGAAGCTCTCTCTTTCTTTAATGGAAGGAGTCTGTGCTTTTTCCTAGGCATATGCTAACTATCAGCTGGAGCAAAGACAAATGGAGCACCCAAAGTTAAAAATCTAAATATATCCTACTAAAGTTTGACCTTACCAATGGAGGAGATTTTGTGATCATTTGGGTATGAAAGTTTTGCTTTGTGCCACCAGTTAGAAGTATTTGCTAAGCTGGTAGCATGAAACAGACCAAAGGTTTCTTAAATCTTTAGATATTTTTAGTTAAAGAGAATAACCACTTTGTCAAAGTGTAATTTTCAAAAGTTAAATATATGACACACAAATACAGAATGAACATGTATCAAAGATTGATTTAATACATTAATAAGGGAGCCAGCAGGATGGCAGAGCTGGCTTAGAGGAGAACCAAAGGAATAGGTTATAAAAGGCATTCAAGAAAGAATGTCAGGATAAGATGTCAGGGTTAATGTAAACTGATTAACAGTCCAATAGGACAACAAAATGTGACAAATCATCTGCATCTCTACTGAACAAAAATCTATAAGTCACCATTAACTTTAAAGGCTGGGCCTTTAATCAATAGTAAAGAGCTTGTCAAACACAGAGCCAGTGCCCTGGGTATATGTATTTTACCACAATTTGGAAGAATTAAATAAGCTGACACATAGGTATAAGAAGAAAAGTTAACAATTCTTCATCCTCCTGAGATGACCAACTTAGTAACCCTATGTTTGTGTTAACTTTTCCTCCTTCATAAAAACATACATAGACTTTCTTTTAAAAAGGAGATTATTAAAATTCTTTACTCTGACGTTTGTTCTTTTCACTTAAGGATATATCAAGGACAGGCCTCTGGGTTCTAGATATTGATCTAATCCATTCTCTCGAATACCAGCTCCATAGACTGGATATGCCATAATTTATTCAATTATTGCTCTACTGATGGAAATTCATTTGTTTCCAGTTGTGTTTTCTTTGCCAGTATAAACACTGTTACTATAAAAATGTTATAATACAGGACAGTGATGTTGAAGGTCAGGAGCTCAGTAGTGACAAGAAGGCAGAGGAGGGAATTGTTGAAAGGAACACTTTCTTGGGGAAAATGGATTAGATTTAGGGGCTAGTTGAAAATTTTGGCGCAAGAGTGGAGAAGGATTAGTGCTGGCATGTTACTGAAAGAGGGAGTAGAAGAAGAATAACAAGGTTATAGAGAGATGGCATAGAAGCAAGAGGATAGGGTTTGTTTTTAAAATGCCAAGCTTGGGGCACCTGGATAGCTCAGTCAGTAGGTGACCAACTCTTGGTTTTGGCTCAGGTCATGATCTCAGCAGTCATGGAATCGAGCCCCTGGTCAGGCTCTGGGCTAAGCATGGAGCCTACCTGAGATTCTCTGTCCTTCTCTCTCTCTGCCCTCCCTGCTCGTGTGTGCATTCTCTCTATTTCTCTAAAAAGTAAAATAAAATAAAATGTCAGGCTAAAGATAGGCATGTTATCTGTGCCCACTGGGCAACAAAACATAAGGATCTAAGGCTTGGAGAACATGTCACAGACAGAGACATTGATCACAGTTGAAGCTATGGGAGTCGGTGAGATCTGTCCCCAGGGCAGCCTTATTCTAGAGGAAGGAGGTGGTGTTCATGGCAGTTACCTGTGTTTAAGGGTCTGGCTAAGCAGACTGTGAAGCGGTCATCAGAGAAGGAGGAGGAACAGCAAGTGAAGAACTTTAATGAGCCCTGCCTCTGAGGCTTTCTTCAAATGCTGGTTTCCTGGCATATAAACCACCAAAAACAATGGTACAATTTGATAAGCCAATTTGGGCCAGTGCTTTGAATTTAAAGATTAGGCCAAATCAAATCTCAAAGGGACAGAGTTCAGTTGTAGTTAGACTACTCTCAACAGAAGTCACAAGGTCATTCGGTTTATACAAAGTGGGACTTGAAGAATATATATATCAGTTTCACAGTTGCCTGTGAAGCAGAGCGGCTGCGCAGACCCACGGAAGGAAGCAGCAGACACAGAGAATCTCTAAAATATTTACAGTCCGCTCTGAAGCTGTCGCAACAATCCGTATTAACATGAAGATGACCCTGTTGCCACCAGAATTGTTCTTAAAGGATCTGTGAATTTTTAAACTTACCCAAGGTGATTGGAGGGGGAAATAAAGACAAGGACCAGTAGTCCAAATGCATTATTTTGTCACTTCTCATGGCTTTAAGAAATACCCGTGTTTGGAAAAGAGTCATCAAAACTGCTGATGTCACTGGGGAGTGACATCCCGGGAAGCCTGCCAGTTTTGACTCTGGATCCAATTTAATTCCAGCACTGTGTTCCTCATCACACCCTAGATACCATGGTTGAAGGTGGAATCAAAAGAAATAAAGATGAGGACTCTCACCATAAAGTGCTTTATGGTGTTGTCTTGTGGGGAAGTAAGATATGTACATAGAAAAAATATTGAAGAAGCATCTCGGAGGTGTTCTGCGACACCCCCGCCCCCCCACCCCCCGCCGGGCCAGGATTGTGTTTTCTGCTGTTGAAGGTATTTGCCATCAGAGTGCAGTCAATTCATACCTGAGTCCCCACCCCACCCCCCACCCCAACCTGTAGGACCCGTTTGTTAAGGAAGAAGCAGGTGTGTGCACAGCGAGGGTACTGGCAGGTTGGAGGAGGCAGCAGGTGGTGAACGAGCTGTTTTCCAGGTAATGTGATCAGAGTCGTATTTATAGGGTGGTCATTTTCAGGCGTGATGGACTCAGGCCATCATCTTGGGTTACTTGATTATAAATTGCAAAGAAGGAGGTCACAGCCGTGGAGTGTTGATGTAAACAAAGGCTGATGAATCCACAGTGGAAGGCTTGTTTGTAGGTTCGGTGTCACCTTGAATATCTCTAATAGCTGGCGACAGGGAAGGCTGCCAACAGAGGGTGGGAGAGTTGTCAGAGTATTCGGTCAGTACCTTACTGTGCTCAGCACTAATCATCCAAAGGCATTGATGAGTCACGGGAACTAATTAGAGGAACACTGGAGGTGTTCCAGTAGGATTCTTAGGAAAGCAAGTTAGCGGTTGAGCTCACCTTCCCCCTGCCTACTGGGTGCCTAGTCCAGCTGCTTGCAAGACGAATTGGGAAGAATCCAGGGTTCTTTACCTAGGGCCCTCAGTTGTATAGGATCACCCAAGCTTGGCCATCGAGAGGTGCCCATCTGTGGCTGCTGCTTCCCAGTCCTTTGGCGGTGGAAACGCTTTATTCCCAGGGTATGCCTTAGGCTTTATTTTTGGGTAAGTTGCTGTGTCCTCCTCTGATCTTGTCTGAACATGTAGGCCACGCCCAAGCCCCTGGCACCCCGGGACCTTTGCACTATCTCCATAATCCACAGCTGCATAGTTTCAAAAGAGGCACCAACATCCAGACGCAGCAAGGCATTCCCTTTTGCATTACTGAAGTCCCAAACCACAGTTTTATCTTAGACACCTTGCCTTTTCTTTCTTCTTTTGTCTGTTCATTTTTCTCTCTCCCTATAATATATAAATAATTGGTTTATCCTATCTACTGCCCAGAGAGAAAATTAAACGTCTGAATTTTTCAGAGCTATGGGAAAGTATTTCCAGAGTGTGGAAAAAATGGACGTTGGACATTCCAGCTACTGCTTTTGGTATAGTGGGAATTTATTACTCAGCTCAGTAGCAGTCTTGGCCCAAGCCAAGCAGTTGTGTGGGCAAGCCGTGGATACCTTTCCTAAATCGCACTGCCAGGGACACCTTTGTTCATATTTGAGACAGCATGAACCAAGGGCATCTTTCCATCAAAGACTGATTATCTCTGAATCTTAGACATACCACAAGAGTCATTGAGCCCCAGCCAATGCATTTTACTTGTATGAGGTATTGCATCGCTCCCAAAAGGAGGGAAACGAAAGGGGAGGGAGGCAAGAGAGAACTCAGAGCCCAACAATAAATAGCTCTTTGTACCAGTCCCCTCCCCTAACCCCAAGCCACTGAGATCATGGAGTAAGTTCCCAGCATGCAGTGGAAGACAGCTGCTGCCCTGCAGCCTGGCAGATGTTGGCCAAACGTGGACTTGTCTTCCCACAGTGTGCGGCTGTGACCTGGCACAAGGGGGCTTCTTCATAAAGAACGGGGAGTATCTCTGCACCTTGGACTACCAGAGGATGTACGGGACACGCTGCCATGGCTGTGGGGAGTTCGTGGAAGGAGAGGTGGTGACTGCCCTGGGCAAGACCTATCATCCCAACTGCTTTGCCTGTACCATCTGCAAGTAAGTGGTGCTTTCTTCCCAACAGAGAAGCACTGGCTTCTGCTCCTAAAGCCTGGGATATACACCTTTTGTCTTGAGATGTACTGTCTTGAAATATTCTTTTTCTGAGCCACCCTTCAGAAAAAGTTTTTTTTTTTTTTTAAATCTTCCTATTGTTTTAACAGTCTTAGTCAAAAAGTAACTTAGTTGGGAAATTTACACGTGATGTCCTCTGCTAAGTAACATGATTTTAAGTGGCTTGAAACCAAGTGTGAAAGGAGCTCTAGGTCTTGAAACAGTTTGAGCAATGGAAACACTAGGAGGAAATGGCACAACTGCTTGGAAAGATAAAGCTTATTTAGAAGTAGAAGTTCATATGCATGTGTGTTTAAAAATAGTCTTATTTACTCTGTGGCAGAGAGCTGGACAAATTCTGCCTCAGGGCCCAAATTAGCCCCAATACCTGTCTTTGTAAATAAAGTTTTATTGAGACACAGCCACAGCCATTTGTTTGCACAAGGCTGCTTATGGCTGCTTTCAAGCTACTGTGGCAAAGTCAAGTAGTTGTGACAGACATCGTAGGACCTGCAGAATCTAAATAAATTTTTACAGTCTCAACTTTCAGGAGGAAAAGTCGACCAACACCTGCTCTCTAGGCTTCTATCCTCTAGCAGAGTTAAATCTTAACTGCACAAATCAGCTTGGTTAAAATGATTAGTCAGAAGAAGGAAAGTATGTGAAGTGTGAGTGGGGAAAGGTGGTGGTTTCATTGTTGATGTTTTCCACATGCTACATGTTCTAGAACTTAACATGGCTTTGCTTCCTGTAGCAAGGAGAGTCACCAACAAGGGTCAGCTACTTTACTGATCTGTCCTAATCGGGCGGTCCCATTCCTTTTGGTGTGCTATTGATGGCTATGTGCTCCATTTTGCTGCACCTTTGTCAAAACAAAAGTTCAGAGGAGGTGTTTTGCTTTGTTACACAGCATTTCGTGTTTCTAGGCCAGAGAGATCTAAACTCTAGAAAGGTAAACTTCATTTTATCTAATTAGCTAACAAGGTAATGCTCACAAATGAACCATATCAGATTTAGATGGAGTATTCATGGTAAAATTATTGTAATGACTTTTTATAACTATTAGTCCATTTCTCAGTATATCTTTTTAAATCCTAATTGTAAAATTCTGGATTATTGAGCTGAAAATTTTTCTGAATTTAATTCAAAGCAGAATTTTCTCTTGACCTCTCCCCTTTCAGTCTGCGCAACCCCCAGCCTGGTTGAAAACCCTTGGCTGGCGTTTGAGAATCCCACGTTCTAGTCCTGCTTCCCAGACTATGGGAATTAACTTTTCCAAGGCAATTGCTTCATCTGTAAGTAGGAAGCTATGGACTAGATCTGAGTGGTTCCCCAAACCAGGATGAGCATTGGACTCCTCGCCTGGGAAAGGTCTCTTCACAAATCCCTGTTTCTAGCATTTTCCCCCAACTCTCCTGCTGATCTAGTAGTTTCTGGAGGGCTCCCAAATAAGGTGCCACTCAGCCAGGTTGGAAGCCATGGCCCAGATGAACTCTAAGAGCCCTCCTGATCCTGGCTTCGAGAGATCTTTGCTTTAAGGTCGGCGGTGAAGGACAGACATCTATTAGTGATAGGCCCGTCTTTGGACATTTGAGGCAGCCAAGAGGTACTCCCTGTTGCGACCAGCGTGCTGTTGCTGTCACTGCTGACTGATGATATTCCCCCTACAGTGGAGGCCTCCCGTGTGGGTGACAGACTGCATTCGTATCCTCTACCCCTCTTGGCAATTCTGTGAAGTCAGCCAAGAATTAGTATCCCTAATTACGAGTGACTCTGAGTCTTGGGGTTTAAGGGACTTTCCCCAGGCTAACACTGCAAGGCTAAGATTTGAACTCTGGTTTCCCAACTCCAAATCCAGTCCCCTTGTTTATACACGTTCACACAGGTAGCAGAAGGAAGTGAACCCACGTGGGCAGAGGGCACAGTGGGCAGAAGGGGGCCATGTGTAAAATCACAAAAGCCAAGTTCAGAAGGGCTGGCCCCGTGCTGAGAACCAGACTCTGGCTTATTCCCTAGTGGATCCAGGTGGGATTCAAGTCTAAACGAACAATCTCTGCTCAGAGGCAAGAGAGGAGGCTAGGCTGCACAATTGCAAGGGGAACTCATGCTCGGGGGCATGCATTTCGAGGTCCACACCCGAGACAGAGGACTTCCTTAAATGCTGGGCCCCAGGAGCCTCATGGGCCTCACCCCGATCAGAGGCCTGTATTTGTTGTGCTGTGGTCTCCTAACTCCTGATACCCCCTCACAGAGCAGACTAGGGGCTCGTCTGGGTTTCGTGGATGAAGCAAGAGGCCCACTGGCATCCAACAGAGCACAATTTGGATGGTTAAAGATAGAGAAGTCCTGGATTGGTGGATGCCACTGGCACCTGCCTGTGGCCTGGTCTCCCCCAAGCTGGTCAATCCAGGCAGGTCACTTAACCTTTCTGGGCCTTATCTGAACAATAGAAAGTTAACACAGCACCAGGAGGGGAAAAGAGCCCGATTAAGCTCAGCACTTGCAGAATGAAGGGGCGGGGGAGTGTGAGGGCTTGTAACTCTCCTGGGGGACTCGCATGAAGCACATCTGTGGAGTCGTTTTAAGCCCAAATTTACTACCTATACGTGCATTACGGTTAATGACCAACTGTTAGGCAGCCCACGGACCACTTAAAGGGGGGCTAACAGCTGGGAAAGTAAAACTCCTGTCAAGGCGCTGGAGTTTGTTCTTAAGTAATTGCTTCTGACTCAGATGTGTGGGGATGTTTTGCTTGTGAGTTTTACATTTCCTAACTGACAGCATCACACATTTGAAAACTCACATTAATGAAGAGTATGGGCAAATTGCCAATTACAAGTAAGCAGGCGTGGAAAGTGTCACATGCTTCTTTGTTAATGACTTTTCTTTTTGAAAAGCTACCTGCCTGCTGAACTGGCAGGAGAAGAGACTCGTAACCTACGTGCAGGGGCAGTGTTTTTGCAAAATGGTATTGCTGCCTGATGCAAAAAGGAAATTATCTCTCTGCAAAGAAGCTAATAGGTTTTTATTTTTTCAGTTTTTAGAAACTAATCATTTTTAAACAGGTGTTTACAGCAGTCTTGTGCTGCTCACCGGGCGTGAGGTCTCCAGCCCTGAAACATCCAGCTCACCCACTCAGATGTCCAGATCAAAGTCTACTTAGGCACGAACACCGCCTACGTCCAGGGAAGGGAAGGAGTTAATGCTTGACCTGTCACCAGTTCTCCTGGGGAGGGGCCCCTAAGCTTGAAAAGGAATGTATGGCATTTGAAATATTTCTTCTTGAAGGATTTTCCATTTAGAAAATGGAAAATTTTTCCTGTGTGTACCTGGCAAGGTGACTTGTTGGAACATCCCTCCACTAATGAGTAGAGGTAAATCATTCCATTTTACTGTCTGGGTTGATGGGAGAAGTGGTGCGTTCTCCTTTCTCGAAATGAGGCTTGTTTATTTGTTTGGAGTATACCCAGCTGGCTAGCTTGGTTAAGACTGCATTTCAGACATTCTGGCTGGTGCTCCTCAAAGAAATGGATTGGCACGGGAGGGCGGCCAGCAGGAGGAGTAAGGGAAAGAAATTAAATTGTTAGAATAACCTTCAGGGCAATGTCTTTCTATCTCCAGGCGCCCCTTTCCACCCGGAGACCGAGTCACGTTCAATGGGAGAGACTGCCTCTGTCAACTGTGTGCACAGCCAATGTCATCCAGCCCCAAAGAAGCCTCCTGCTCCAGCAGTAAGTGCCCTAGTCACCTGTTGACATGAGTTCCTCATTGCTCAGACGTAGCTTAGGCGAGTGCCTGCCTTTCTGTGAAACCACTAGCTAGAGCTGCACATAGTCGTGTCTGAGGCATTTGCAGTTGTAAAATGTCAAGCCTTCACTAAAACCCCGTGAGAAGTGAGAAGCAGTGAGAAGCATCTCCCTTATTTCAAAAAGACATAAGTAGAATTGGACCTCAAACTGTACATTCTGAGAGTAAATGAAGGAAAAGGAATAAAACTTTCTATGAGAAATGCTTGTTCCCTAGTCATGGAGGTTGAGATGTGCAGACGTTTGGCAGTGAAGTGATGGATAAGCTCTGGGTATCAAAAAAGCTGTGCCCACTGGGCCTAGGACAGCTGTGGTGACTTACACTTACCCTTAATTCTTTATATCTGTTATCCTTAAGTATTTATGCACTTGGAGGGTTTCTGACACATCTTTATTGAACAGATAATTTGCCTAGCAGCTACAATGTGTGATGTAGTTCCCACCGGGGATACAGGTGCAAACAAAAACTCAGCATCCTTGGGAAGCTTCCTCTTTAAAAAAAAAAAAAAAAAAAAAGATTTTATTTATTTATTCATGAGAGACACACAAAGAGCGAGGCAGAGACATAGGCAGAGAGAGAAGCAGGCTTATGCAGGGAGCCCGATGTGGGACTCAATCCTGGGACCCCAGGATCATGCCCTGGGCCGAAGGCAGGTGCTCAACCTCTGAGCCACCCAGGCATCCCAGGAAGCTTACTTTCTAACAGAAACAGGCAGATGATAAATGCATACACAAAAATATCTAGTATCTAAATTAAAGCAGGAATAAAATGCAGGGTAAAGGGGCTGCATCTATATGAGGCATCAGAGGAGACTTCTCTCAAAAGTGACGCCCAAGGAGACTCTAATAAAATGCGGGAATAAGTTCTAGATATGTCATGGGATTTGCAATTCTTTATGATGAGGTTTTGGCTTCCATGTGGGAATCTGGAGAAAACTAACTTGCCCCGAAACTTTCCCCCAGCTAACTTCTTTCCCTCGTAGTGCCAGCACTGCTTCTTCTAGTAAATAACGTTGGATAAGTCAGTTAACTTTTAAGTGAGATGTATACTGGTTTCTGGCACCAAACAATGAAACTTTCCTTCTGCTTCCTTCGTGGGGCATGAGGAAGTAGACCAGAGGTTTGCCTTCCTTTCTGTGGATTTTGCCAATCTTTGGGAGATCTGGAACAAACTCTATTGGGCCCCTCCAGTCTCCGTATATAAGAATGAAATAAGCCACTTCTGCTCTGGAGTTGGAGTTGGAGGAGTGTTTCTGTGCACTCCATAGCAGTGATTCCAAATCGTTTTGTTAAAGAAGAAGAATCCTTATACTGTTTTCAAGATGAATGTTCTGACCAAAATATTTGCATAGAAATTGGATTTGACGGTTGGGAGGAAAGAAGAAAATAAATGTATTAGTGCATCTTATTCAACATGACCAGATCCTTAGCATATGAACTTATGCCCTGCTGATAAATAATAGCAGCCTGAACAGGACAAGAGCTGCAAAGCAAGGCTCAGCCCTGGACCCTTAGGAGGGTTTCAAATGCTTCACGCTTCTTACCTACCCTGCCCCAAGCAGGTCCAAGTAGAAATAGTCACCCCACTGTTTGGGAGGGTCTACTTGGAAAGTACATTATCAAGAACTTTGGAGGAGCTTTTCAGTCTAGTTAAGAAAAAGGAGATTTTATGAATCACAAGAAAGAATGACAGTTGCTAATAGGGGATCATGTCCAAGGGCCTATGATAGAAATGACTATCCTCAAATTCTGTAGAGTCCTTTAGTCCAACTGTCTTTTTTTTTTTTTTTTAAGTAAACTCTACATCCAGTGTGGGGGTTGAACTCATGACCCTGAGATCAAGAATCACATGCCCTGCCAACAGAGCCAGCCCATAACTTTCTTGATAGGTGAGGAAATTAGGGCCCACAGGCATATTTAAGGTCACACAAGCTGTCCCATAATAAGGCAGGATTAGAGGTGGGTCTTTTGAGTCCTGTGTTGAGGCTCTCTTTTGTTTCACCTCATAACTCTCCCTTGTTTGGTTTAAGAAACAGAAGTAGATATTTTTAAAGGCTTCCTGTCCTCTCTGCCCATGCAATTTGGGAATGGGTTTTCTCCTCACAATGTTGCCAAAATGGTTATTCCAATTTTTATTAAACATGTTTTTCCTTTATCTATATTTTCCATTTTATATGACACATATGCACAGAAGGAAGAAATAAAAATAAATAATAATGATAAATAAAAATAAAAATTTTAAATGTAAAAATGTGTATCCTACCCAAATTCATTATATCTTTAATGCTAGATATAATAACAATTGCATATGAGCACATTGTTAGACCAAATCATATTTTCTCCTTTGCTTTCAATGGGTGAAATCTATTTTCTCTGCAACTGCTTTGGTCAGAGCAGTTTTATTTTCAACAAGTACTTGTCTATTTAGATCAGTACTCAAATAACATTTATGGGGCATGTGGGTGTTAAAAAAGAGCTCTTATATGAGGATACACACATGCAAAATACCCAAGCTGGGCAGGCACACAAATACTAGCACAAGGGAATTCTCAGCAAGTTGCTGAAATTCACTAAAGCATAATTCGAAGACACTTGGTTGTTATTTGTAATTGTGTAAGAATTACCCTATACATGAAAACTATCCTGATGTGACTTTAATTCTTATTTTAAAAATTTCTTAAACTTGGCAAATCACCCTAAAAGCAAACAGTGAAATGTCTCTGATACTGTTCACAGAGTCAATGAAATATACCAGGGTCAAGGTCCTCTTTCTCCTTTGGAATGTTCTTTCAGAAATGAATTTGCTCTTCTGAACTGTGATTTTATTTCACGTTCAGTGGCAGGTTTCCCATCATCACTGAATAGGAGGTGAAGGTGTGAGAGGACGAGAAGTGAAGGTGGTCAGCAGAAGCTAAGTCAATGACGCAATGAGAATTCATACAAAACAGTGTCTACTTGAGCTTCCTGGATAGAGATCCAGTTTCTGCATCCAGAGCCAGTCCAGAGCTGCCTCATCTATACTGATCTGGTTTAGAGAGGACTCCCAGTGGCGTGCCTGTGACCTCATGGTGCTTCCTTCCACCTTGTAATCATTTCTTAATCTTTAGATTTAATTTGTCTTCTTCATCAGACACTCATATAGTACTCACTGTGGATCAGGTGCTGGTCCATGAATTTTAACTCATTTAAATCATGCAACCACCCACTAGGTTGTTACTAAAACTATCCCCTTTTCACAGAAGAAGAAACAAAGGGCCTTAGAGGTTACTTTGTCCAAGATGACACAGATGGTAAGCAGTGGAGCTGAGTTATAGGCGCAGGCTGTCTGGCTTCGGATGCCATGCTGGTGTCCCTGATGTCTCTTGCACAACGTAGGCATCACTGCTGAGCCTCAAGCGATGCCTGACTTCTCTGCACATATCCCCAAGTATCCTGTCCCCAAGGGCTATGCCCTTTCTACACGCCACAGCTGCCTTCTTTTGGTCGCCAGGTTTGATGAATGGAAACCATGAGGAAGTTATTCCTAGAAACTACTTCAATTAAAGATGATCCCCCCCCCTAAATTAGTTAAAATTCTTGCTGCATCTGGTCTGATGCAATTTGAATTCAACAAGCAATAAACCTTCTATAATGTGAAAATAATAGTAAAAATTACCTCAAAGGGTTGTGATGGACATTAATTAAACTGCCTTTACCATTAAAAAAAAAAAATCCTTTGTGTAGGTCCAGCTGATCCACAGTTTAAAAATAAAAACTGACATCCAGAAGACATTAAAACCAACCAAAAGGTTACAGGCACTCAAATGCTCACTTCTTCCCCAGTCTTCATATTATCTGCCAGCAGTTGAGGAACTGGATTCCCATGGGTTAAGGAGCCATGTGAGGGAAATATGTGCACAGCAACTAGAGTGTAGAGAATTGGGTTTGGATTGTCATTTCCTGCACAGCTCCCATCTATTTCAGGCACCTGAGCAGGAGTGGGCTGCTGTCTACAATTACCCTTTCCATTTCAAAGGGTGTCTGACTAGTGTCTGATTGCGTGTGGGTTTGGTGGATTGACACGATGACCACCCACACACAAATACATCCAAACCCATCTTCCTCCCTCCTCCCCCCCTGTGCAGCATTGTCATTATTCCAACTGCATTTGGAACTCCTACAGGTATCAGGGCAAATGCTCTACTTGGCCTGAATTTAAATCACTTTGGATAAAGAATCATGTGTATGTTTTCAAAGAGGAGGAAGAACTTTTCCATTATTTTATGTTTCTTTTAATAGTTGCAAGATAATTTTTATTTTATCTTTATAAAGATAATCCTGCCAAAAATCATCTGTGGTTTGAGTGGGACTCCTCTATTGAGACACCTAGGAATAGGTGGGGTGGTGATGATCTGACACTGGTGTCTGACTGCCTGGGTCAGGTTCTAGTTCTGCCACTTGCTAGCATTCTTTTTACCTTTCCAGCTTCCATTGCCTTATCTATAAAATGGGATGGTAATAATTACCTTGTAGGATTAAATTAGTACATATATGGCACTAATTTACAGGCATTAATTTTTGAGAATTTGTGTCAGACCATCACTACTTTTGTGACTCTTCTTTTTTCACTCTGCTCTTCATGATAGCTGTCTTTATCTGCTCGTTTGATATTTTTTAAGATTTTATTTATCCACCTATGAGAGAGAGAGAGAGAGAGGCAGAGAAACAGGCAGAGGGAGAAGCAGGCTGCATGCCGGGAGCCTGATGCAGGACTCGATCCTGGAACTCCAGGATCACACCCTGGGCCAAAGGGAGGTGCTAAACCGCTGAGCCCCCCAGGGATCCCCCTCGTTTGATATTTTCCACCAGTATAGAATCCAATGAAGGCAGGAGTACATCCACATGTTAGAGCCCCTGCATTGTTGGAGTCTGACTCATGGTGATGT